GTCAGCAGAACGTAGCTGTTGAGCAAACTGCTGTCGCGGAGTCCTCAGTTGATAGGCCTGATCAGGTGATGGTTCCAAGTCAGGCTTCAGTTGGGGGCCAGGCGTCAGTTGCTACAGCTATGGCTCTTGAAGATGGGAGCGTGCATGCTATGAGAGCGGATATGGAAGTCCAGCAAGGCTCATCGTCTTTGACGGTTGTGCGTTGGATTTCTCGTCTGAATGACTTTCTGGCCAACCAAGGACAGTCAGTGCTGGGTTCGGTTGGGTTTAGTTCTACGCCTACTCAGGGGGTTCGACATTCAGGACACCCGAACCAAGCAACAACACCAGCCACTACACCTGTACGCAGTCAGCAAACACAAGCAGCAAGGACAAGAAGCACTCCTCAAGGCTCTCCGATCCAGTTTTCCCCGCCTGAAGAACTTCCTCAAGGACGTGGAGGATGGGGTCAACACATGGAGTTTCAGAGTCAGGAGGCTCCACTGTTCTCACGAGAGGCATGGGAACAGATGATGAGGTTCTCCCAGAGGGCACCTTGGCTCTACGGCCGAGGAGGGCGCTCACAAGGGGACTCGACGACGGGATCTTCAGAGGTTCATGCCGAAGTTCAACGCCAAATGGATAGCTTCATGAGGGCTCAGTCTTACCAGCTCGATGAGATGAGGGAAGAGATCCAGTTTCTTCGGGCGGAGAGGGCGAGGCTGGTGGCCGATCAGGCATCGCGTGGTCAGCTCCAACGTGAGGGAGATGATGGCCAGCGGCAACCTGGTGATCCTCGTGGTGGTTTGCCTCGGCATGAACACGATGGTCGTCTTCTACAACCTGGTGATCCCCGTGGTGGTCTACCTCAGCGCGAACACGATGGTCGTCTTCTACAACCTGGTGATCCTCGTGGCGGTATACCTCAGCGCGAACATGATGGTCGGCTTCTACAACCTGGTGATCCTCGTGGTGGTTTTCCCCGGCATGAACATGACGGTCGTCTTCGGCATGCTGGTGATCCTCAAGGCGGTCAGCTTCACCGTGAAGGCAATGATGGTCATCAACGTCATGGTGATCTTCGGGAAGTGCCTAGTCAGCCAATGGAGGTTTCGCAGCTTCGAGGATCCGATCAACGAGGTCTTGAACAACATGTGCACTCTCTGCTTGAGCCTTCAGAGGGACGGTATGTGAGGCAGAGGGTCGACAATGGACCAGAGATGCAATATCCAGCAGGACCTCCGACTGTGTATGGACCCGACATAAGTGCTACGAGATGCGAATCGGTCCCCTCGGTGATCCCTCAGGCCACAACTGGAAGGCCGTCTACGACTACAGCGGTCTCAGAGCGAGAGACTTCTGGAAACGTTGGCAGAGGGTATGCAACAGTTGCAGAAGGCGCAGCTGGACCAGTTCGAGAGGGCGGAGAAGCGAAAGAATGAGGAACCTCCTGAGCAGTGCAAGCCTGGGACTACGTCGTTGCCTTCTCTACCTCCGCCTAGCGGACACGAAAGCGCTGTGGCACTTCAAGACTGGATTGAGGTCATCGATGGTCCTCTTCGGGATATTTCAGACAGCAGTTCTTGGTGGTGGGACGCGGTGAAGGAAAGGGCTCAGAAGGGTTACCAGCTGTGGGTGGCCTCGGGACCTTACGAAAGACTATCCCTGAAACCGCCAACTGCTGATGATCTCGAGCAAGGTCGCTTCTCGAGGTTGAGCGCAAGGACGGCGGGAATGATGCTGCAGGCCATGACGGAGGGAGTTCGAGCAGAGATGGTTGCGAGGGCAATTACTCGTTCACCTATGGCTTTGTTGTTTAGATTACACACCATGTACCAGCCGGGGGGTGAGAGTGAGAAGGCCTACATCTTGCAGTACCTCGTCAACCCTCCAAAGGCAGCCTCGGCAACCGACTTGGTTAGCGTGCTTCGACAATGGGAAAGACTTCTTTTGAGGGCAGACAACTTGCACATTGCGAAACCAGATCCTTCCTTGCTGGTTCGTGGGTTGAACGGCTTGGTGTCAGATGGCCAAGGACAAGGATGTGATGTTCCGTACACAGCTTGTGAAGAGCAGGCTGGGAGTGGATGTGAGTCCTACGTGGGAGTCGGCCTTACAGTTGCATCAACACTTGAGGGCGGAGTCAGAGAACCTTGTGAATGGTCTTCCCTCTGTGGTGAGATCTTCTGTGACTGCGACCGAGTCACAGCGTGACACCAGACTGAAGCCGTTCCAGCCAAGTCCATCTGCTCCTGTGAAGCCGCCGACGAATACCTCAACTACTACCTCTTCACCAAGCGGAACAACTGGGAGCAACACAGAGAAGAAGTGCAAGTGGTTCACGGAGCCAGGGGGATGCAGACGAGGAGCAAGTTGCAAGTTTGTGCATTCCTTTGAAGGGGTCTCCAAGAAGAATCGATGCTATACCTGTGGTGCAGAAGGACATCTTTCGAGCGCGTGCCCTACAAAGGGAGATGGAGGAGACACGAAGGGGGAGGGCACAAGGCCGAAGCCAAAGGGCAAGGCGAAGAGTGCTCCAAGCTCTCCGTCACGNNGGCGAGGTCTTTGATGGCAGAACCGGAGCCACAGCCAACTCCACCAACGTCACCTACTACCGTGGGCGATGCTCAGGCGACAGCGGGAACCGGGGAGATGAAGGAGGCTTTGAGGGATGCTGCGCAAGCCCTTAGGTCGCTGATGAGTTCTGGAACTACAACAGCGACATCCTCAGCGTCTTCCTTGGAAGGGCTTCAGCGACAACTTGATGAGTTGAGATTGAGGGCAATGAAGGTGGAAATCGATGGCACAGAGCTGAGGAAGTACCAGAGGACTCCGCTGGATGAAAGGGTCAATGGAGATGGTTCCTCAGTACCGACGCTGATCGACTCTGGTGCCACCCACATCCTTCGCCAACCTCGGGATGATCAGGAGTTGGCCTCAGCTACTCGAGTGTCGGTGACCCTTGCCAACGATGAGAGGCGGGAACTACTGCAGACTGAGTCCGGAGCAATCCTGTCAACGTCGCCAGCTACCCAGCCGATCCTGCCAATGGCGGAGCTCGTGAGGGCCGGATGCGAAGTCAGCTGGAGGAGGGGTGTGTTCAAGGTTACGCATCCAGTTTGGGGTGAGCTCAAGACATCGCTGCGTGGTGGTTGTCCAGAGTTGGCACAAGAACAAGCGGCGAAACTCGTGGATCAGATCGAGGACAAGAAGCTCCGTGAATTTCAAGATGGGTTTCTATGTTGAAGTCTAAGTTGGACTACCTGGTTCGCAAAGAGAAGCTTCCCTGGACGTCATACGCGATGAAATTCTTGGATGAGGGACTGGCTAAGGATCTTTGGAAGGCCGTGCGAGGATCCTTCATGAAGGATCTTCCAGAAGCAGTTCTAGACTCTCTTTGCATTGGCATTCGTTTGAATCAAGGCTGGGAACATCTGAAGTCTTTGCCTCTGCCAAGAAGAACTCGGAAGAGAATGATGGAATCAGATAGGTGGATAGATACTTCATCTACCAAAGCATCGAGAAGAACCTCCTTTGAAGTCCGAGGACTATGGCGAGACTGCAGTGATAGTAACAGTGCCGCCGCACTTGCTTTCTCAGGCGTATGGTGCTCTGATGTGGGGGGCAGCTACTGGAAGGATCGCTGCGGTGGTTGGTGAAACTCCTGGATGCTCAATGGCTAAGGATTCCCAGACTATCCGGATGGCAAGAACAATGGTGCTTTACGTTATTGGGAGACTCGCGAGATCAAAAGGAAGAACTGGGTTTTTCTGGCTGATGCGAAAGGACGATGGTGAGGATGAGGTTGGGAAATTGATGGTGCAGTTTCAACAAGCGGCCTCCATGCGTGAGCTCAACGTCAACGGTGATGGGTTTCAATCCTCTTCGAGAACGCGGTGGGTAGCTACAACGAACTACGATCTACAAGACTTAAAGGGGGAACATCAGTCCGAGGAGGGGAAGAGCGACGTAGTGAACAAGGGCTGGTCTATGGAGTGGAGACGAAGGTTAGCAAGGGCAATCTCTGATGGGAACTTCCGTGGCTCTCAGAAACGAGATGATGGTACCTTGAAGGCTATGACGCAGGAGCAATGGATGAGTCATGTTCAGGCTGGTCATTATCCTTCGCGTCGAGACTGTCTTCAGTGTGTTTCTCATGGGGCTACAGGACACCGTCATGCCCGGATAGAACATCCATCTCTATTCTGCCTTACTGTGGATATCACAGGTCCTTTCAGAACAGCCGGTGAAGACCCAGGAGCTCGAGGAGATCGTTCCAAGGCAGCTAAGATGAAGTATCTTCTGGTTGCAAAGTTCACCTTGCCGAAGTCCTATGTCACAGGTGAGTTTGAACCTACAGCTCAAGACCCAAGGGAAGAAGATGTTGGCATGAAGGATCTGTTCGATGAGGATGGACACATGGTTGGTTCAAAGGGGGTGTCAGCCGAGGGTGAAAGGTGTGATTGGTTGAGCGACGAAGAAGACTATGTGCCTTCAATGGCAGAGGAGGACGGCGAGGAAGAGGAGAAGGATACCGGTGCGGGCGTGGGAGCAATACCAATGGACGTGAAGGCCCCGGAGTCTACATATCTTCTATTTGCAGAGCCGCTTCTCAATGACAAGGGCACTACCGTCGCCAGCGCAATCCAGTCCATTGTGTTGTACCTCCACAGTCTCAACATCCCTGTGCTGAGATTCCACAGTGCTCGAGCAGCGCAGTTAATGGCCAGATCGCTGGTGCAATGGCTGCATGGACAGGCAATTCGCACAACAACTAGTACCCCTGGTGTTCCTCAAGAGAATGGTTCTGCTGAGTGTGCTGTGAAGGAAGTCAAGCTCACTACGAGAAAGATCCTTTCCTCGTCCACTCTGGGAAATTCCTTTTGGCCGGTGGCTGCAAAGGCTGCGGCGTCTCTTCAACGGGCTCGCGTCTTACGTCAGGTACCTCGGATGATAGCGGCGTTTGGTGCAAAGGTCTTGGTGAAGAAGAGGAGGTATGCGGCTTCAGGAGCTTTGATCCGATTGGAATTTGATGAACGATGGGCCGAAGGAGTGTATTTGGGTCTTTCTGATCAGCTTGCGGACGGACATTTGGTCTACGTCGACGGAATCTTCACTCACACAAAGAATGTGAGGGACAAGGCCAAGTTGGTGGACGCAGAAGTGGAAGTACCTGATGATCACGGAAGGGAACAAGGTGACGAGCTCGAGCCGCGGGCTAAAAGAAGGATCGTCGGAAAATCGGCGCCACGAGTTGCAGTGATGGAGCGCAGTTCGGAGTTTGGGATATATGAAGACGATCTTCCCAGCGACGAAGAGGAGCTCTGCGATGATGAGGACCTGGGTGATGGCACGCAGGAAGTGATGAGTGAGGAGTGTCCAGTTCCTCGGGTAGCTGTTTTGGGTTCCAATAGAGGCGAAACACAAGATGGTCATGGAGACTCGATGGACCCGGAGGACTATGCCAGGGAGATCATCTACAACGAAGACAATGTCGATGAAGGAGTGATCAAGAGGTTATTTGAACTGCTTCCAAATCAAAGACTACCTCGACAGACAGAGGACTGTGGAGCAAGTGGCTTACCTCCTAAGGCGTGGGCTTCGGGAGTTTATCGTCATGGTGGCGTGCTGGGTGTGAGGAAGTCATCCCGTGAGTTTCCGTATTCTACAAGACTGGTGAATCAGTTCATTCGGGAGGTTTTGGGCGATTCGACTACATGGTCTACTTTTTCACTTCGTCGGAATCTTGGGGTGAAACGACATC